AAAAAGTTGCCCCATGTATCATCAGCCTAACGGTGCAGGCAATAAAATACAAAATTCTTTCTTTTCAACTGAGTACAGATTGACAGGCTCCTCTCCTCATTAACATTCTTTCTTGTAGTACCTGATTTCTCCATATTCTGACATTTTTGTTTCTCAGAATTGTGAGATAAAAACGAATAAGAGTTGTTTATGTTCAGTAGACAGCGCTGATTATGTTGATTACGTTCTGGGGTACTCTCCAAAATGGCGGAAGACGGTAACTCGGGGAGAAGAATTGTTCAATAAATTCTGTTATTATTGTTTTCTTTGGCGCACAAAAAGTATTCTCGTAGCTTCGTAAAATTACTGTTGAACTACTGATGTCACATGGACAATTTTTCCGATGTCTTTTCTGCGTTTCTGGACCTGCGAACATTGCAGTTGCATTGCTGTCTACGGAGGGTCCGAGAGCTCTCAGATTCCATCAAAAATATCTTAATTTGTGCTCTGAAAATAATTTTATAATAATTAATAATAATAATTTAGTCATTTAGCAGACGCTTTTATCCAAAGCGACTTAGAAAATTAGGACAATGGAAGCAATCAAAAGCAATAAAAAAGAGCAATGATATGCAAATACTATAACAAGTCTCAGTTAGCTTAACGCAGTACATGTAGCAAGTTTAAAAAAATAATAATAATATAATAAAAAGAAAATAGATAGAATAGGAAAGGAATAGAGCAAGCTAGTGTTAGAGTTTTTTTTGCTTTTGTTAATTGTATAATAAATAAAAAGAAAAGAAATAGATAGAATACAAAAAGAATAGAGAAGCTAGTGTTAGTTTTTTTTTAAAGAAAACAAGCAGTAAGTAAATGAATAGAGTGCAAGTCTAAAAAGGACAAGTTTTTTTATTTTAAGAATAGAATTAGAATAGAGAGTGCTAGAGTTAGAGGGTCAAATAAAGATGGAAGAGATGTGTTTTTAGCCGATTCTTGAAGATGGCTAAGGACTCAGCTGCTCGGATTGAGTTGGGCAGGTCATTCCACCAGGAGGGAACATTTAATTTAAAAGTCCATGAAAGTGATTTAGCGCCTCTTTGGGATGGCACAATAAAGCGGCGTTCACTTGCAGAACGCAAGCTTCTAGAGGGCACATAAGTCTGAAGTAATGAATTTAGGTAAAGGGGTGCAGAGCCAGTGGTGGTTTTGTAGGCAAACATTAATGCCTTGAATTTTATGCGAGCAGGTATTGGTAACCAGTGCAAATTGATAAACAGAGGTGTGATGTTCATTCTTTTCGGCTCATTATAGATTAATCTTGCTGCCGCATTCTGGACTAATTGTAAAGGTTTGATAGAAGTGGCTGGAAGACCTGCCAAGAGACTGGATTATTGCAATAGTCCAGCCTGGACAGAACAAGAGCTTGAACAAGGAGTTGTGAAGCATGTTCCGAAAGAAAGGGCCTGATCTTCTTGGTGTTGAATTGAGCAAATCTGCAGGACAGATTTTAGCAATGTGGTCTGAGAAAGTCAGCTGATCATCAAACATAACTCCAAGGTTTCTGGCTGTTTTTGAAGGAGTTATGGCTGATGTGCCTAACTAAATGGTGAAATTGTGATGAAACAATGGGTTTGATGGAACCACAAGCAGTTCTGTCTTGGCAAGGTTAAGTTGAGGGTGATGGTCCTTCATCCAGCAAGAAATGTCTGCTAGACAAGCTAAGATGCAAGCAGCTATCGTCGGATCACCAGGATGGAATGAGGAGGAGCAAGTTGAGTGTCATCAGCATAGCAGTGATATGAAAAGCCTTGTTTCTGAATGACAGAACCTAGTGATGCCATGAAGACAGAGAAGAGAAGTATTCCATCAAAAATATCTTAATTTGTGCTCTGAAAATAATTTTATAATAATTAATAATAATAATTTAGTCATTTAGCAGACGCTTTTATCCAAAGCGACTTAGAAAATTAGGACAATGGAAGCAATCAAAAGCAATAAAAAAGAGCAATGATATGCAAATACTATAACAAGTCTCAGTTAGCTTAACGCAGTACATGTAGCAAGTTTAAAAAAATAATAATA